AAAAAAAAAAAAAAATTAAAACTAACTTGCAAATAAAGGACACGTTGAAGAAATTTTAAATAAAAAAATAAAATAAAAGTATCGTGTCTCTAATGGTTAAAATTTTCAATGGATAGTGTAACATCTAAAATCGCCAAATAAATAAATAAATAAAAATAAAAGCAATCATTGTTCATTTAAAAAACTTGGTCATTATGAAATAGTACTGCTAGAAAAAATAACTATTTATTTTACATTCGTTTGTTTTATTTTATCATTAAAAGAAATAATTTATACTAGGTGGGAAACCTCAATAAACAAACACATAAAAAAGTATGTCTGTGAATCATTTATGTAACGTTTAATTTTAAATAAGGCTCGTCAAAACTTTCAAACCGAACCAAATCGAATCGGACCCGAATCGAACATAGCGTTTATTCTCAAATTAAATACTCAAACGGATATCCGAGTCGAGAACCAACGTGTTCAGTTCGATTGTCGATTCTAAACCAAGAACTGAAGAATTGAATCTCCTTAATTTTTTAATTTTTTTTATCTTAAATAAGTCAAATTATTTTTTTAATAAATAAATGTGCTAACTAATTACTTTAGCATAAACTTAAAATATGAATTTTCTATTTCTAATTTCCAGTTCAAGCCAAACTTAATCAAATTGACCTAAGTTTTACCCAAATCTTTAATTCTACCGCAATATCGAATATGTCGTTTTGAAAAAATTGACTTGGAAGCTCAATGTGCCTATCTTCATTATTGTGAGCTTACTATATTTCTCTTCCTGTGATTTAACAATCAAATCTATGAAAAACTCAACAAAGAGAAGCGCAAAAGATACCATAGGATTGGACAACGTTGTTTTACAAAAGTTAAGATTAAACATGTCATTAGTTAAATTAATGTAACGTTGTTGTGAATATTAAAAAATTTAATATTGTACAGAATCCCGAGAATCGAATGGAACTCGAACTATTCCATAATTAAATTTAACTCAACTATTCAATTTACTAAATACTTAAAAATTCGAGTTTGATTCGAATGTCTTTAAAATCGAATCGAATCGAATCATGTCATGTCCCGCGGAATTGAATCATGTCAAACTATTGAATCAAACCATGTACGACCTTAATTTTAAACAAAGAAGCATTGGCGGTGGTTAGTGGTCAATCATCAAGAGCTCAATTTTTGAAGCAAGGCGTGAGTATAAATGCAGAACCTTTCCTGTTAAGCTGTCCTTTTCACTTCCAAGTACCCATCTCTCTCCAATTTACTCTGCTCTCTCACATTTCTCTTCCTCTCTCTAGTTTTCTTGAATGCTTATTGTCACTGTACATTAATAATCGTTCCAACTGTCAACGAAAAAAATTCAAGAAATAAAAGCGTTTTGTTCAGTGTGATAAAGAAAGGGCTATACAATTTCAAAACCGTGCAAAGAAGTGCTAAAAGTAGCGCACAATCTGAAATGGTATCTGTCTTTCTTTTTCCCACTTTTAGTTCTGTTCTTCAGAGTACTTATTGGGTGTTCCATCTCTGTCAATATAGGCGTTGGATGAATCAATGAGTGACTGTAGAATTTATGATACTGAAATCAATGTTTCTGTACCAAATAACTGCTTCTGAACACTTTCTTGGAGCTCTTTATTAAACTGGGCTTGTGTTTTCTTGGGCATCAATGGTTCTGGATCTTTAATTTTTGAAGGCAGCTTTAATTTTAGTGGAAAAAGCTTCGGAAATGGTAGTTTTGAAATCTCATATATGTTTTTTTTCTGCGTTTTGTTTACCTGCAGCTTATGAGTCTTAAAAATTGAACAGAGCCTTTATCATGTGCTAATTTCCAGCTCTTTAGTGACTAGTTTGACTGTGGAACTAATTTTCTCATTATTTTTTTTTCCTTAAGAAAAACTCAGTAAATGCTTTACTTATTCTTTTTTGTTTCCCCTGGTCGAGTAAATAGTTTTACGAACGAATGAAAATGGACTTAGCTTCATGTTTAATGGTAAAATTTTGACTGGTTTTACAAATTTAGGGGCTTTCTGAAGGTGTTTGATTAATTGATTTTCTAAATTTTGCTTTTTCTTAGGGTGTTAATTGATTCTTGAAGAAGACTGCAAGGAGGTTTATCCTACTCTTTTAGGGTGGCTTCTTACTATTTGGAAGAAAAGATGGATATTGCTGTTAAGGATGCTAACATTGAGCCAGAGAAGGGTAACGAGAATCCTATAAACTACCACGCAACTAATATGTCTTCAGATTGGCCTTTAAATGAGAATATTCTTACCAATACATCACTAGGAATTATTCCCACAGGCAATTCAATTGTGGAGTCCTCTGTTTGTTCCTCTGCATTGATGGCAGATTCTTTTTGCCCTCAGATATGGGATCAACCCGTAAGTGTACAGAGTTTAGGCTATTGTGATGTGAATGTTCCAAATAATGCTAGGACTAAAGATAATTTTGGTCCAACAAGTGCTAGTACAGGATGGATTCCTGATGCAATTTTAAGGGAGTGTATGTATTTGCCTACTTTTCCGGGGATGGTTCCTCAGAGCATGCCTCACTTTCTGGCTGATTCCAGTTGTATTGAAAGAGAAGCGAGGTTTTCGTGTTTCAGCGGAGAGAATTTTGGTGATATGATGAATCGATATATCGTTCCTGAAAATTTGAATTCTAATTCTCATGTTTTAGCATCAATGCAAGGGCAACACGACGTATTTGCCAGTGGTGGAAGAAAAATGAGCATGACCGAAAGTTCCAAGGAGGCGTTTCTACCTTCGGAGTATGGAACTGAAGGGAGCCCACTCAAGAATAAAAAAACGATAGAAAGTTCACCCTTCTCTCGTGTTGAAGCAAAACTAGGAGTTGGTACGTTGGCTAATGATTCCAATGAGGTTGAATTTAGCAGTAGAGGTGATCAGGAGTTGGAGGGTTCACCCAGGGAGTCTTCTGGTAAAGGACTTGGCTCTAAGAAGAGGAAGAGAACTGAACAGGTTGAACATTGTTTTGCATTTTGTTCATAGTGCTTTAATTCAATATGGATCTTCCATTATAATTTTCATGTCTTTGGTGTCTCAGAATAGGGAACTTGATGAAAACAATCGAGTCCCGGAACCATCAGCCGAGACAGCAAAGGACAATGCTGAAATTCAACAAAAGAGTGACTGGAATCCAACTTCAACAAGTAAGCCTGCTGGAAAACATGGAAAGCAGGGATCTCAAGGGTCAGATCTGCCCAAGGAAGAATACATACGTGTTCGAGCACGTAGAGGCCAGGCAACAAATAGCCATAGTCTGTCAGAAAGAGTAAGAGTTTTTGTCGAAGTTCATTATAAGTTGCAAAAAAGGGTACAATTTTATTTTTGGGTTTTGAACTAAGTAATTTATCTACATTGTAGCTAAGGAGGGAGAAGATTAGTGAAAGGATGAAGTTTCTCCAGGATCTTGTGCCTGGTTGCAGCAAGGTTAGTCATGTTGATAGTAACTTAGAAGCCTAAATCTTGTGTTTATTCTAATTAGACTATTTGCTTTAGTTCGTTCCATAAGAAAAATGTTGTTTTTCAGGTTACAGGAAAAGCAGTTATGCTGGACGAAATCATCAATTATGTGCAATCACTGCAACGACAGGTTGAGGTATGTGAACCAATACTTCATTTCTTTCCATATTGTTGCACGATTCGTATGGTGCTATTGATAAATTTTGATGCGAGACTGCATCTGTTATTGTCAATAGTCCTTCTGGTGATCTTTGAATGAAAAGCATCTAACGATCAACTTCACAAGTCTTTTTGCATTTCCTTTTTTCTTGACTGTGGGGGTGAGGTGGGGTAAACGAGTATACAAAGCTAATATTGGTCCTCATTGCTAGTAATTTCAATGTTCAGAATGTTTGCTTGTCCTGTATTAGATTTTTGTTCTCTAGTAGCTAGATCATTCATGTCAGTGCATTTCTATTTCTTCTCAGTTCCTCTCGATGAAGCTTGCAACAGTAAATCCACTGCTGAATTTCAATATCGAAGGGCTCCTTACCAAAGATGTAAGAAAATACAAACCCGCCAATTTATGATTGACTTTGTAAATTAGTACTTTATCTAATGCAACAAGCAATACATTTATAACAGACCATTCAGTCGTGCATTGGTTCATCATCTTCGCTGCCTTTTCCACCTGATATGATCATGCCTTATCTTCCATTACATCAAACTCCACCTGGACTAATTCAACCTGGTCTTTCAAGCTTCGGAATCTCTTCAAATGCACTTCGGAGATCTATCAACTCCCCATTTACTTCTGCCTTTAAGGAGTCCACATCTCAAGTAAGCTCTGTTTCTTTTCCAGTCAAACTAGCATTTTCATCACGCGAGTTTACATCAACTGACAAGGCAACGCATTGTGTTTGATTCAAATTTTTACTAATCAAATTACGAAAATTTAATGTTATATATTATCACGTGCAGGGACTGAGCTTGTGGGAGGATGAGCTTCATAATGTTGTTCAGATGGAAATAAACTCAAGTGCTCCTCTTAGTAGCCAAGATTTAACTGGTATATCCCCATCAAACTTTTAAGTTGTGGAAATATCTTAGCTGATTGCAGCACCTTTTGCTACTTTTGCAGGTTCTTTGCCTCCAGGCCACATTAAAGCCGAACTATGATAGCTTTTTACTCTGGAGTACCCCGAGCATATATATTTATTCACGAGCTTGTCCTGGTTAGACATGTTTCAGCTTACCGCCGTGATGTTGAAGTGCGACTTACAGGTCCTTGAATTTGTTGGGAGTATGATACCAGATGTACTTGACCGTATCCATGCTCGTATGCAACATCTGAATAGGTTCAAGTTAATAGTTCTGAACAAACTATTAATGTAAATTGACACACATTAAGAAATGATTATTTCAAGGAGTTTATGAGAGTTTCTAACGTCCAAAAACTGGAAGATGAAAATTGTGAACCATTAATAAGACTTAATATGAAAAACCAACCTTATGATTATTCAGTTATTAGTTTGTTTAGTTTCATGTAAATCCCACTATCATGGGCCTAATTTTGTCTTGTCAAAAGTCTTGAACCCATATTGAATGTTAACGCTCGCTGGAGAGGTTCAGGGTATTCACAAAGAGCAATGAGAACAATACATATCTAAAGTTTTTGAAAGATACAATTTCAAAATTACGAAATTTATTTTAAAATTTCAAATCTGGTCATAATTAAATTTTATTAATTAAATATATTAAGATCACAATATTATGCATTTTATGGTCACATTTATGTACTAGTTATAATTACATAAGAGGAAATTACACAAAACCCTGTGTTTCAAGATCCAACTTCAAAAATCAGGGTGAAGATTTTTTTATTCAAAAATCAGGTGTTTGATATTTTAAATATTAAATATTATATATACAAATTTCACCCTCAAACCCTAAAAATCAAATACCACTCTCATCT